CAGATTTTGAAACAAATTGTCATGGACATGCATCCTAGCATGTATAAAGTACATGTATGTGCCAAATTTGAATGAAAACTGACAGAGCACGTCCAAGATACCGCATAAAAAAACAAAAACAAGATGCCTGCCAGTAGACCATCTTTGATCCAATTGCGAAATAAATCGTCATGGACGTGTATCCTAACATGTATAATCTATGTACCAAGTTTGAATGACAACTGACAAAGCATGTCCAAAATACAACATTTTCAAAAAACAAGATGGCTGCCAGTCTGCCATTTTGAATCGAATCGCTAAACCACTGCATGTGCATATGTTCCACATAAGGTTCTAGGCACATTCAAAGAATGAACGGAATTGGTCCACAGGATTCTGAAATATGACGTTGGATAGACCTACGCACGGACAGACGGACACACGGACGGTCGGACAGACAGACTCAGGAACTCACGGATGGTCTGGGACATGTATCCTAAATGTACTAAATTTGAATGAAAACTGACAAAGCATGTCCAAAATATGACATTTTCAAAAAACAAGATGGCTGCCAGTCGGCCACCTTTGATCCAATTGTGAAATAAATCATCATGGACATGTATCCTAACATGTATAATCTATGTACCAAGTTTGAATAAAAACTGACAAAGCATGTCCAAAATACAACATTTTCAAAAAACAAGATGGCTGCCAGTCGGCCATTTTGAATCGAATCGCTAAACCACTGCATGTGCATATGTCCCACATAAAGTACTAGGCACATGCAAAGAATGAACAGAATCGGACCAAGGGATTCTGAGATACGACTCCGGATGGACGGACGGACGGACAGAGACCGAATTATAAGTCCCCGTTTTCGGACTTTGTCCGAACGGGGACTAATAACATGCTAGCTAAAAAGACAGTAAAAAACAAAATCATTCTGGTTTATGGTATGGTTAAACCCACCAAGATTTTGTCACCCAGATTGCTTAGAATGCTGTAAGAACAACTGATTACCTATTTTACCTGCAAACATTTGTCTACAGTCTATTATTTCCAAGTAAATACAACAGGAATGTGGACAAAGCCAGCTGGTAATCAAACTACATAATCAGTTGTTCTGATCTTACTATATCCAGAGCAATAATAATGAAAACACCTTGGTGTCACCAATTGAATGACATCAACGACAACTAAAGTTTAGTGTAACATACAGTTTGCACATGATACTTTTTATTAATTTTTTGATTAAGGGTCATTAATTTACTACTTTCTACAGTGAATATAGAATCAATTATTCAGGTTTATATTGTAAAAAATGATTCAACTTTGGGACTCAAAGGGTTCAAACAATGCTTACCTAGACCTGTGTCTTGGGTGCATGATGTATATGCCCGATTCACACTTCTCACTACAGAAGTCTCTGTCCAAATTAGCAAGTGTTCTTGACGCATGCATGGCAAGTGGGATATAATTTGACTTCATCCATGATGCCAGCAACGTTACCCAGCCTGTGTGGAAAAAATTAAATGGATTATTGGCATTATCTAGCAGTTAGTACATAGCGTACTCTTCCGTAACACTACAGTGTGAAATGAGGAGAGTCGTATTTGGAAAATATCCATTTTCTAGTTCAAACATAATTCAAATTTTTATAATATTTTGTTGTGTAGTAATGTATGCATATTTGTCGGCTGGACTCAAATCCTGGAAATATTACAGACAATTTCAACTAATATCTGTCAAAAAGTGAATGAACTTGCTGAGATTATACACAGGTTGGTAACATACCGTAAAAACTCTATTAATTCGTGGTAGTAAAAATAATTAATTTTTCAAGTGCACGAATTAATAGCGTAAAAAACGGAAATTATTGGTTTTTGGTGCGCAAATTAAAAGAGTACTTTTAGATCGATTCAAAAAGGAGCTGTTTTCATAAATTTATTAGTGATTTGTTTTGTTTTCCAATGAACACTATTACAGGACGTTTTTTAGTGCCTCTGAGACTCGTGGCTAGCGACATTCATGGCGTATAGTCGGGCAGAGAACACGCACTGCGTCAAGGACCACGCACCATGTTACACTTGAAATGAAACAGTGAAATGGCAAAGGTCACTCTGTACACAAACAATGAACACGTGGCTACAAAGTAGCCGTCTGGCTGCACTGCCTTTTTTTATTTTTCTAGGCATCACCCGGGCGATGTTATGGCAGATATTACGAAGCCCATCTTGTCTGGAAAAATAGCCCTGCGTTGATAAAAATGATCTCAAAAAATGTTTAGACAAATAATGTTTCGCGTTGACCATGAAGCTAAAATAATTATTTTAGCTCCATGCATTGACCAAATATAATCATGAAAAGTATAAATTCAAAGTGTTTCAATACATTGGTGAGAGGTCGCATTTTACGTGAACAAGAACATGCACTAAGAAGGAAAAGCAAGTCAAAGTCGAAACGGGGTGCATCATGGACATGACAACACACGCTGCGACAACTGAGTGATCAGCGACATCATTTTGGGGCGCAGTTGAACTTCAAATACTTCTTTGCGAAACTTGCTGCGCGGCAATGCTGACATCAAGTGTGTGTTGACCGAAGCTTGACCCCAGGTCATGCACTGAACTGGCGTGTTACCTTAGCAACCTTTTTCTTTTGTGCCCCGCGCGTCAATCTAGTAAAATTGTTATTATATCTGAAGGTACTGTAATTACGCAACTTGTATGCAAATCTGTACTGGCTTTGAATATATCGACGTTGTTTACTTAGTGCACTGCTTTTCTAATTACGCAAATTTGTTTACAATATTGTACCGGCTCTGAATATTTCAACTTCGTAATGTATTGCTTTCATGATAATTAGTTTTTTTTAACCACGCGTTTGAATTACGTGCGGCATCGGGCAATGACCTCCAGAGTTCATGCACTGATATTTAAATTAGGGCCACCCAGCTTGACACAGATCAATATAGTTACTTGTCATTTGTTCGAAAAATCTTTTAACTCTCACAAATACCATGGACGCGAAGAGTTAACTGGTGGTTAAATGAAAAGGAATGTCTTTCTTGGACAAAAATACGTCAGTACAAGATTACATGTGCAAGGTTAGATTTATAGAACGTACATGACCGCTTAACTCTGCGTTTTTTACCGAATCCGGTATAATGAAAATGTGACACAAGGTCAATCGCCCGACCAATCAAAAACGCACCACAGGGCGGTTCACTTAAATGACATAATAGAATAATGGCGGACACACGGTCGATGCATGGAGCTAAAAAAATCTTATTTTAGCTCCATGGTCGATGCAACCCTGTGGACCAGCGACGAAAAAGCCCTGTACTAAGCTTTCCATCATGGAAATTCGTAATCGATGTGCTGACCAATGGATTTTTATCGACTAAGTAATAATCTTGCCCAACATCTGTAGTGTCGTGGGGGAATGATTTTTTTCAGGTCAAATCTTTACCGAACCTAAACTGCTTGCTAACTGAAAGGCTGTGATGACAGAGATCATCTGCTGATAACATAAAAACTCAAACAAAATGTATATTTTTAATGTCTTCATGCAATATATTCCGATTTATCCACTTTATTCTGGCCCGCGAATTAATAGGATACAATTTTAAACATGTTTTTGAACGCCGCGAATTTAAAGGATACATTTAAAAATTAGCGTTCGAAAATAAAATGGGTTCGCGAATTAATAGAGACCGCGAATTAATTGAGTTTTTACGGTAACCAAGTTTTAGAAAGATTAGACAACATTTTCTTGAGTTAAAGGGGCACCTTCCAGTTAAGATTAATTTCACAACAAATTTACTTTCTGGATTAAAATAACAATGGATAACAAAAGATAGATCAACATTGTAAACAACATAAACAATAGTGTCCCATGATTCTTTGGTGCAATCCATGGGATTGAGCGGTTCCCCTTTAAATTTCAACAGTAATGCCTGACGACGACAACAATGGATTTATTTTATAGATTTATCTTGTGTGTGCATGAATAAGAAGAATCGTTTGTCACTAGCGTGATGACTGGACTGCTTTCTTCTGTCTGGACGTTTGTCAAAGATATAGAATGGGGAAACTGTATTTGTGTAGCCTTCTTTCCACATTTTTAATGTACTAATTGAACGTAAACATATACACAATGCATTTTTAGTATACTTGGATCGTCTTGCATACTGTCATCTGTGGACCTTACCTAAGGATCCACAAAAGTCTCATTAGTTGGCTTTGGCCTCCCAACTGAATTTACATGTTAAGAATACGAGTCACTAACATTTCAGTATTCAACCCGAGGTTGGAGAACTATGATATGTTTACTGTTTAAATTATTCCATATAAAATAATTATTACCTGACGTCACAATCTGATGGTGCAGTTGTTCGTGTAATGCCAGATTACCCAGAATTCTGCAAATCTTGCACATAATAGTCAGACTTTCTTCTCGCTTTTCTGCAAGTTGCATCAATAACTGTAAACCATTTTTTTCAACGATAACATCACAGTGACTAGGAATCTGAAATCAAATAATAAAGGTACTCAATACCACATCCCAAAATAGCTGCATCTCGACAATTCTGCTCATGGTGTTTTGTGAAGGACTTCAGTGTAAAAAAAAAAATGTTATGTGTGTGTACATAGTCGTTGCTTGCAATATACTGTAATAAGCTGAGCATATTTGGTTGATTCACTGAAAAATGCCAAAATCCAATATGTATAATCATTGTACTGAGTTCAAATAAAATTATGCAAAACATCTTAGAGAAACAGTTGTTAAAATTATGTGTATCTGTAACCTAATATGTATGATTCTAATACAAAGCCCTGTTCATCTGTGAGAAATGATTCTGGACACATTTACAGACTGCTATTTTAAGATTTTAGATAAAATGACCATCAATTTTACAAATTGAATAAAGTTACACAACCTATTTATCATGCATTTAATTTTAACTGAATCAGGCAATACTGTGTAAAATACTTAATTTTAGCCGGAATTTATTTTCGTTAAAAAGACTTTTGGGTGTTTTGTATGGAATTTATTTTCACTGATTTTCACTGACGAATGTAAAATATAGAAAAAAAAAGGTACATTCGCTGGATTTTATTTTCACTGAGACATTCCTTCAGCGAAAATAATTTCAAGCGAAAATAAAGTATTTTTCAGTATATCCAAGAAGCATGTTTAAGTATCAGGATTTAGCAATTTTTTGTCAGCCATACCGTATTTATCCGGGTATAAGCCCAGGGTCCTGAACATGGAAAATTGCCAAAAAGAAGGGGTGGGAGTTTGCCAGGAGATCCCCGGCAAAAAAAACGAAAATTCGCAGATCGAACTGTGGCAGGGAATAGAACAGCAAATGAAAACATGCAACGAAAATAAATGAACAATATGCAACACTAGAAGTAAAACAAAAATAATGTATTGCTTATAATGTGACAAATAAACCAAAAATAATAAAAATCGACAGTGAGGAATAATTTACAAATTTACACAGTAAAAATTATAAAAATTCATAGCTGTTTAAAAAAACTTTTCAGATCTTTTATTTATACGTTCATTGCCATCTTCGTCAAACTCAAAACCCTCAAAGTCCAAGTCGGCGTCACTGTAGCCGTGAACAAAATCCCTACCACTTATTCCTGAAGTTCGTCGATATCATCCCACACAATTTGGACTTAGCACTTTTAATCCACAGGATTTCGCAGTCTGTCAGCTTGGCACTTTTCATTCATGTCTAATCATAATAAAGAGACAAGAAAATGGGGTCGCTCTGCTGCAATGGCACACGATGCTTTTGTTTACAGTCTAGCAATCATCTTTGACCTTTATGCATCTGCTTTACTGATTGGCTAAGAATGACATCACTACTAGTATTTCATCATAAAGATCAAAACGTGACATTGCTTTCTTATCAGACTTGACCCTTATCACCACGGGCCGCTTGCA